CGGCCCAAATTTTGAACAAGTCTTCGGAGCCAACACGGAGAGTTTTTCCAGCTTGAAACAATTTAGAGCCTGCCCGGGGCCCAAATGGAACAGCTTTTCGGGGCCCGAATCCGGGACCCGAATGGAACAGCTTTTCGGGGCCCGAATCGGGGCCCGAATCAAACAACTTTTCGGGGCCCGAATCCGGGACCCGAAAGGAACAGCTTTTCGGGGCCCGAATCGGGGCCCGAATCGAACAACTTTTCGTGGCCCGGGGCTCTTGGCTGTGGATGCTTCTCCAGGGGCTCTTTGGAGGCCACCGTTTCAATCTGCACATTTGTGTCCACCAGCCATCTTTTCGGGGCTCGAATGGTATACGACTTTTCGGGGCCCGAATCCGGGACCCGAATGGAACAGCTTTTCGGGGCCCGAATCGGGGCCCGAATCGGGGCCCGAATCGAACAACTTTTTGGGGCCCGGGGCTCTTGGCTGTGGATGTTTCTCCAGGGACTCTTTGGATGCCACTGTTTCAATTTGCACATTTGTGTCCACCAGCCATCTTTTCGGAGCCCGAATGGTATACGACTTTTCGGGGCCCGAATCCGGGACCCGAATCCGGGACCCGAATGGAACAGCTTTTCGGGGCCCGAATCCAGGACCCGAATGGAACAGCTTTTCGGGGCCCGAATCGGGGCCCGAATCGAACGACTTTTCGGCTTGGCTGTGGATGTTTCTCCAGGGGCTCTTTGGAGGCCACCGTTTCAATCTGCACATTTGTGTCCACCAGCCATCTTCTTTTCGGGGCCCGAATCCGGGACCCGAATGGAACAGCTTTTCGGGGCCCGAATCGGGGCCCGAATCGAACAACTTTTCGGGGCCCGGGGCTCTTGGCTGTGGATGTTCCTCCAGGGGCTCTTTGGAGGCCACCGTTTCAATCTGCACATTTAATGTGTGTCCACCAGCCATCTTTTCGGGGCCCGAATGGAATGACTTTTTGGGGCCCGAGCCCAGTGCCCGAATGGTAGTTTTTTTCTTGTGGTGCTTGAATACTTTGTGCAAGTTGGACTTTTTTGTTTTTTGGGGATCTAAAGCTTGACTTGCCGGTAGTTGAACCTTTCGACCATTGACAAACTCTTATGGGCCAGCATTGAAAAAATCTGGGCAGGGGGTGGACTCTCGCTACTTTCTTTGTCAAGCTCCAGCCGCCTGACTTCACGTCGCCGTTGCCAAAGAGGGCGTGCCATGGTTGTGATAATAAAGAGCGAGCTGGGGGAGATGAAGAACACCAAGAAGCTGCAGGCCGACCCCGTGAATGTCAAAACTGCAACTAAGAGACGGCAGCTTGGAATAACAGTTCAGTCAATAATTGTAGTATGTGTTTTATTATCTCTTCAACTGTGTTATTGAGCCTGCCCAAAACATCTTTGCAAACTGCACTGGGCCAGGTACGAGAACAACCGGACCTGCAACATCCGTGTGCGACTCACCAAGGAAGAACTATTGAATCTCCAAAACCATGATGAGTTGCTTGCTGAAGTAGATCGGCTGCGGCTGGACCATGACTCCATGAAGAAAGAATTAGATTTCTGGACCAAAAGCACTACCATGGGTGCACGGGACTGGTGTGACCGTCTCCGCCAGGCTGAGCAGAAATTCCGTGAAGCAGCTGAAAAGATTGCGCGGCTGGAAGAGGCCCTGCGTGATTTAAACAGCAAGTTGGACCAGCTTGCGCTTATGACAAACTGCGCTCGCGCAGTTTGTTTTGAGGCGAAAGCAGCCAGCGCCAGTGCCTGAGGCAAACCTGGCAGCTGCCATATGACGGGGTCTCACAGGCGCTGTCCAGCTGTATCTCTTTTCCATTGGCATGGGGCAATGCCGGAAAAAAAGAGAGCAGCTGCGCGTGCACGGCCTTTTGCTTCTTGCTTATCGGCTGCTAAGGTGGCCAACGATTGTAACCAGTAGGCTGCCAAGTTCCCCTGCTGCATGTTTCTGCCCAAGCGGATCCCGCCCCTTCCCTCTTGACTTTCGTCTTTGGGGTCCTTTTGGCCATGCAGCAACGCAAGTCAAGTTCAAGCCACCTCGGAGTAAGAGCGCATCCCAAAATTCTTCCCCCCCCCCCTCCCTCCCCAAGATTTTCGGCAAAAAAACACTTCCGAAAAACGGATTGTTTTGACAAAGAACGCGCACGCGAAAAAACAAGGTTTTCGGTCCAAAAAAAGCACACACAAAAAAAAGGCATAAAAAGCATGTCCTTAATGACCGGCCAGTCGTCTCTGGCAGCAGGTCTTCGAGTTTGTCAGGATGATGGCATACAGCGAGGTCTACCTGCGCTGCGCCCAGCTGGCCAACGCCAGCCGCGTGTTGGGCAATCTGGGGGACGACATCCTGTCCAAGATAACGCTGAAGAGCGGCGTGGGCACCATCGTGGAGACCGGCTCCGATGACGGGCACTTCATGGCTGTGAGGGGCCCCATCACCCTGAGACACATGCGCTTTCGACTGACCGATATGGAAGGGCAAGTCGTCCGACTGAGGGGCTCGTCCTTGTCGTTCGTGCTGTTTTTGGATCACGTCTAATTTTGCGAAGGTCTTTAAACAAATATCTCCTATTAAAAAACCCGATGAAGCAAGCGCAACCGGCGCCAAGGCCAAGAGGCAGGCCCCCGGGCAGCAAGAACAAGCCCAAGCCGCCCGAGCTGCCCCAGCGAGCAAAAAAACAATTCCCTGACCCGGCATACTATTACAGTTCCCCATACATACCCAAGAGGCTGAGAGGGCCTCCAGACCTGCCCACAGAGCCAGTGCACCTCCGGCCCAAGAAGTCCAAGGCAGCACCCATGGCCAAGGCACCCGCGACAGCGCCCAAGGCAGCACCCAAGCCCAAGGCAGCAGCCAAGGCAGCACCCATGTTCAAGGCAGCACCCATGCCCAAGGCAGCACCCAAGGCAGCACCCAGCACCCAAGGCAGCATCCCAAGGCAGCACCCAGCAAGGACCCCAACCCGCAGCCTCTGCAGCACACGCCCCTGCCAGCAATTCCCAAGGAAGGCTTCCGCACTCCCGCAGAGGCCACGGACGAGGACTTGGCCCGGATGCGCCAAGGCTACGCAGGAACCCGCTTCGTCGAGGACGACCTGGCAGGAGACGCCGAGGCCGACGCCCTGGCAAACAACGGTCAGGGCCCGCCCTCCATCACGGGCCGTTTGCGCAGCGCGGCCGACGGAGCGCAGGCAGCAGCGGACCTCGTGGGCGCAGGAGCAGCAGGGCTTGCGGCGGTGCAGGCCTTCCGCTCCCAGCTCCCCCAGGACGCAGCCGAGCACGTGCGCCTAAATGTGATGCCCCGCCCAGGGCCACAGCCACAGCCGCCTCCGCAGTCATCGGTTCACCCGACGACGTCGAGCGCCTCCTGGACGAGGCGGGGCAGCGCGCGCAGGAGGTGGAGCGTGGCGCAGCAGGCCATCGAGGAGGGCGTCCGTTGGGCTTGCAGGCGGCGCACCTACGGCCTCGCGCGCGGCACGGGCTGGGTGCTGGAGAACACGCTCTTCCGGCCTCAGCAGGGCAGTGAGGACGCGGCCGTGCAGGACGTCCGGTCCGCCAACGGCATGAACGACGCCACGCAGCCTCAGCACTTTTCGCGCTCAGGCAGCAGCCGCTTTCCACGGTGGACGGGTTGGACACACCACTGGAGGTAGACACCAAGATAGCAAATGGTGTGCTGGGTCTTGCCACCGAGGCCTTCGTCGCAGCGCAGCTTGCTAGCCGGGACGCCAGCATCTCAGCGCTCCAGGGCGCCAAGGCCGACGCGACGCTGCTGGCATCGTACGCCACGAACGCTGCGCTCTCAGCCAGCGCTCCAGAGCGCCCTCGACGCAATCCTCGCGGACCTCGCCGCCCTGCAGCTTTCCGGAGGCGGAGTTGTTAACGCGCCGGCCTGGGCGGGGCTCACGACTTGGGAGCTCGTTCGCGGAAGCAACGTTGTTCGCAACCTGCATCTGGAGGCTCCTCTCTCTGCTGCGCTGGCCAACGGCGACGACACGCTGAGCATCACGGCCGCAGCTGCGCTGCTGGCCTACTACACCTCGGCGCAAGTGGACGCGCTGTTGGTCGACTACCGAACGGGGACGGCGCAGGACGCCGAGACGACCAGCGCCATCTCGGCTGCGCTGCTGGCCTACTACACCTCGGCGCAGGTGGACGCCCTGTTGGCCGACTACCGGACGGCAAGCGCGCAGGACACACAGACGCAGGCTGCCATCTCGGGCGCGCTGCTGGCCTACCGGACGGGCCCGGAAGGACGTTTTCACGACCAACCAGATCACCTCGGCGCTGGTGGCGTACCGCTCGGCTGCCGACCAGGACACGGCAACGGGGCATCCAGACACTGAAGAAGGACCTGGCCACACGCGTGTCCCGCAAAAGCGGGCAGGGGAGCCCACTTTGAGCGTGCCGCGGGGGCCTACAACCCGGCCACACGAGACGGTACACGGCGCCCCGAGGACGTGGAGAAGCAGCCGGCCACCGAGTTTTCGGCTGCTGCAGGACAACGCCGACAAGTTCCAGCAAGACAAGGACCTCACGGACCGGCGCATCAAGGCCGTGGAGGATGCGGGGGCTTTCCGAGGGCTGCTGGCCGTGGACTCCATGACCGTCACCGAGTGGCCGGGAGACCCTGCTGAAGCTGGCGCTGCCGGCGCCCCAGGGCAGCGGCAACACGGCGGGCCGACTGACGAGGCGGGGCAGACCGGCTGCGGTGAGGCAGCGGGACGACTTCCTGGGGCCCAGGCGGCCCAGAAGCGATCGGGCCGCTGACCTTCTTGAGCAGACTTGACGGAAGCAACATGCCTTAGCTTGTGGAGAGAAGTTTTAGCCCAAACACGATTTTGCGAATCTCGACCTTAGAGCGATCCCTGGACCCCGCCCAAAACGGCCATTCAGTTTGTGGATGCAAGCCTGACACCCATGGAACATGTGAAGCCTCTTGTGACCTGAAGTCCGCCCTGCTCCCACCTGCTAGCGCGATTTTTGTACACTCACAAAAGCTTCAGCACGTCCAGCTGCGCAATGATAGTCTCGCAACTCATGAGAGAGTATTTCTTCTCCTCCTGACGTCTGGCCCATGTCTTGTTTGTAAAGGACTGCCAGCCTTCAGACTCACTGCAAATCTGCAGCAACACATTTTGCATGTCCTCAAAGTTGTCCTTCTTCGCCTTGTCCTGCAACTTCAGGCCGTCTGCATCCTTTTTCTTTTTCTGTCCATAACGACATTGCGCAGCAATGAACTCGAGCTTACCAGTTGCCTTGCATCTCACGGGGATCAAAAGGTCGTGGTGAGCCGTTGCAAAATTCCGGTTGGACTTGATGGCCTTCCCAACGTCACTCATGACAGTTGCTTCATTGCCTTGGCCGCTTGGATGTTCCACACCATCACTCCAGCAAACTTCGAAAGGCTCCAAAACAGCTCGCAAATGTGGATCCTCCGTAGGGTAGATCTTCAAAAAAGGGACCCAGGTGACTTCAGCAATCAGGTTTCTTGCTATGCAGTGAAGGCGGAACCGCGCTGCCAGGGAATTTGCAACCAGCTCTTCCCACTTCTCCCCCCTTTCAGTGGCACCCCTTGTTGGGCTGTTGAGCAACTGCGAGGAATCTGGCAGGAGCCCCTCCAGGTCAATGTTCAGCTCTTTCAAATCGTTTCGGATGGCGTCTTTGATATTGGTATCCTCACACCACCACAGCCGTGGAACCAGTACGCACTTGTTGTTTGGAAATGCTGCTCCGGCCCTGAAGATGTCTGACCACCTCACTGAGGTTCCGGGCACAAGCTGGTGGCCTTCTGCAGGCCATCGAACCGCCGAGCAAAGAACCAACGCCAAAGCCACTTCTGGCTGATTGAAGTAGGGGGCTGCATCCGCATACGAGCTTCTGAACTCCTGCGACATGGCATTGAGTGCAACCTGAGCAGTTGATGCCAACTCACCCCAGGTCTGGAAAGCCGCCTCCAGAAGCCGGGGTACCCCAGCCGAGAAGAGGTGAATGTTGTCGAATTCCTTCTTCTTGTATTGCATGCCTCCCCACTCTGCCATGGCCCGTCTGGCGGCTTGCAGCGACAATGGCGCCAGAGCCGGTACTTCCTGGACCTTAAGCGAGGTGTACTCCTCCGATGGCCTATCGGTCAAGATATTCACCGTGCCTGCCGAAAACATGCCCATCTTCTGCGGGAATTCGCCAAATATTTCGGTGAAAGCTGATTTCTGTCCATGGTGGCTCAGTCCCTCGACCTCATGATTCACAAGCAGCTCTGCCTGATCGAGGAACACCAAGCAAGCGCAGTCTGGTGTTGCGTTGAAGGCTGCAGCCGTCACCAACAGCCACTGCTCGAAGACGCCCTGCTTCTTTCGACAAAATGAGCCAAGCCAAACTTCGAAGCTGTCGCACCTATCAATTTCACGTCGTACCGATGTACGTTTGAGGGCCTCCAGCACTGCAATGAAGTCCATGCCCCTAAAACTCACCACCAGCCCACTCACTTCGATGCTGTACCCGCACAGCAACTGTGACAGGTGCCACACGACAATTGCAGAAGCAATCCTACTGGGAGCTTCCTGCAACGCTGACTTTGGAATCTCTCGCGCATCAACCACTAAAAGCCGCCCACATCTTCGGCTTTCTGAGAAGTTCGGGACCTTCAAAGCCAGGTGTCGGACAAGCGATGTCTTGCCGGTGCCCCTTGGGCTCCACAAGGCCAAGACCGTCGGCTTGTTGGTCCCATTCCTTTGGATCTGTTCTATTTGCTCCACAAGACTCCGAACAACCGCCTCCCTTTCTAGAAACGGCCTCTCATCCTTGTTGTTGATTCGGCTATTCAAAAAGCGGTCTTCGAAGTCCAAGAGATCTGTGGCGCTAAAACGAGGGAGCTCAACCTGCGCGGGAGGCGCATGAGGGAATGCTGGGAAGGACAAACAATCACAACAAACCAAACACGCATCGGCAATTGGTGAGAAAATCGATTGCTAGCAGGTTCCTTCCCACTGGCTCATGTTTCTTGCAAAACGCTAACCATTCACAACAGATCACAAAGAAGCATGGGTACTTAGTGCGAAAGCCGAGCACTAGGAAAGCAAGGAACACAAGTAACACAAGGGTACCAAAACCGAAACAAAACCAAATTTCCAGCAGGAACACTGCCCATGAAAGCAAAGCGGGAGATGCGTGGTTCAGCTCAACAATCCTTTTGTGGGGCTCCACGCTGAGCAAAACCACTGAGTTCCCAGGAACCCCGACAAGGTTGATGAGGGGGAGAGTGGCGTCAAATATGTTGAGGTTCTGTGGATGTGATCAGGGCAGCCCCACTGAAAGCATTTCCGCGGGGAAATCAAAACCACACAAAACGTCAAACGGCACGTCTCAACGTCACCCGGCAGCAGAAATACATTGTGCACACTTTAGCAATCTCCTCCATGCTCGTGCTGTCGGAACAAAATTTAACCTTCGGATTGCATTGTGTCTGCAGCAGCAACAACCATGGCAGAAGGGTAGGTCTTGCTCTTCAAAAGGCAGGCGACTGGAACAGCAGGCTCTTCAATATTTGCGGGTTCCCCCTCGACTGTTCGATAGTTTTGCGCTAAACACTCACACCAAATCAGGCAGATATGAACAGGTACGGAGAAAAATGAACAACAGAACGGGATGGAATGGCAGCAAAACGGGCAAAACATCGAGCAAGAACACCGCCAGGGAGATCAAAGAGAACATTCATAGAATGCACTTGTGCCTGCAGCAGCAAGGGCCCCAATGATTGCAAAGACATCAGAGTTTGCCCTCCCTCTCCCCGGCAGACGGGCAGGTCTTGCTCTTTCAAAAGCAGGCTGGGGGCAAGCGCAAAATCACTCACAACGATCAACGGCACGTCTCAATCAATGTCGACCAGCAGGAATGACCGACCTCCAACAAGGAAAGGCAACCATCCGTTCATGGGGGCTCCATACCGAGCCTGCCAACGACACGAACCGCCGCAATCTGCAAAAATGCTATCTTGGGATTTTCTCATTCTGTGGATGTTGATCAGGGCAGCCCATTGAAAGCATTTGCGGGCCGCGGGGGGGAAGTTCAGAACCACACGCAACGACCCACCGCACGTCTCAGAAAAAAGTCAAGAGAAACGATTTTCCAGCCGCGCCTGGGGCTCCTTCAGCAACTGGATCTTCTTTGTCAGCACCTCTGCAGGTCCGCCAGGGATGTTGTACGGAGCTGCCATCAGCTTCTCCAGTGTCAGCTCCAGCAGGGACTTGCCGGTGACGCCTTGCTGCAGCAGTGCGGTCACCGTCCGCTGGATGAACTCATCGTCTGCTTCCAGCCCGCCGTCAATCAGCACAGCCTCTGCCCAACTGGGCACCTGGGCCTTCTTGAAGCCCTCCACCTCCTCGCAGCTCTTGGCGAGCCAGTCCTGCCAGCACTCACCAACAAGCAAGCCTGGCGCATGCGAGCCCCCGGCCTCCGCACCACTGTCCTGGCACGATTGCAACCGGCCAAATTTACAACTGCTGATTGGAGCGTCCTGCTGCGGGCTGGCGCGCGAAGCAACTCCGCCACGCCCAGGGTGCCAGCTTGTCACCTCAAGAGGAGCTAAGAATCCAGGCAAAGACAATTACAGCGACACCGAGATCTGGACCTGCGCCCTGCGAGAATCCTGGCGGACCAATTGCAACACACAAAACAGGAGCCCTGACTCACAGCCCCAGCAGTGCGCACGAACGGACGTCCTCTTTCAAGCCCTTCAGGGTTGCTTTGGCCTGCGTCGCACGAAAACCGCTTGTGAATCTCAGACAAAGCACGCAAGGCGACTCCAGCATGCAACCAGCGCTGGCTCGATGCCTCACTAAGCTCGCAGGATGCGAAAAGGGTCAATCTGCTTGCGTTAGTGGACAAGTCTGAAGATTGGGCCGGTGCGCTGTTGCGGTCCTCGCATCACAGCACAAGCAGGAACATTCGCAAAGAGGGACTTCACGGTCCTTCCGACCGGGAACTCCTCGCGAAAACTCGTGGGCGGCGGACAGGGACTCCTGAAGCCCGAACGAGTCAGCTGCCAACCCCTCAACGTTCCCAAGACCCAGGCCGTGCTCGGCCACTGCAATGAGCAGCGCCAGCGCATTCCCAGGCTGAGGCACGCACCTTGCAAAACCACACAACAAACAGCGCAGCATATCAGCTTGCGGGCCTTGGCTTTTTATCCTGGCCCTCATCACAGCCATGGCCATTCCTGAACTTCACGGGCCTGCAAGGCCAATCCTACCGCTGGATACGTCGGCAATGTGTGCCCAGTGCCTTCAAGCATTTGATGAGCACTCTTGGGCGGCGGACGACTTCTTGCGTGCCAACATGTCCTTGCTTCGTGTCATGTTGGTCCGCGTGTTCACGACCCTACGCGGCTTGTTTACTAGCACTCTGGTTGCCGCTGGCGCTGCTGGAGCCGTCAAAGACGCCACTTTGCCGATGCCCTTGCACTGGACTGCCACTCAAAGCTCCTTTCGCTCCCCGAATGCCCCAAATTGCCTGTACAGTCACAAAGATCAACTATGCTATCTCGCCGCCGGGGGTCAAAAGGTAAGGGTCTGCCAATACACTTCAAGAGCATTGTGAACTTCGCATGAAGGCAGACACTGCTGATTTTTACATGGCTGGCATCCTTCATGGAAGAAGAGCGTCTCAAAGAACGTCGGCCGGCAGAAGCGAACGACCTCCCCGAATGGCAAGGAAGGTCAACATTCGATTCATGGGCTTCCACACTGATTCGTTTCCCGTCTGCCAACAATGCAGCCAGCTGAAATCTATGAAGACAGGAAGCGCAATTTTGACGCTGTTGCAGCCATTGGGGTCGTTGCTGCTAAAGGCACAGGTCGATCCTAATGTTTTATTTGGTTCCAACAGCATGAGCATGGGGGAGATTGCTAAAGTGCGCACAATGTATTTCTGCTGCCTGCAGACTTTGTGTTGAGGTGTGCCGTTGGTCGTTGTCTGGGCTGTTGATTTCCCCCGCAGCCCGGAAATGCTTTCAGTGGGACTGCCCTGATCACATCCACAGAACCAGGAAATCCCAAGATAGCGTTTGTGCTGTCTTCCCTTTCTCAAGAGGAAGCGCTGCAATCTGCGCAAATGCAATCTTGGGATTTCCTGGTTTTGTGGATGCGCTTAGGGCAGCCCCACTAAAAGCACGCCGGGCGGTCGGGGAAATTCAAACCCCTCAACGTTCCCAAGACCCAGGCCGAGCTCGGCCACTGCAATGAGCAACGCCAGCGTAACTGCTGATTAAAGCGTCCTGCGCCACGCCAAAGGTGCCAGCGTGCCACCTCAAGAGCTGAAAATCCAGGCAGAAAAACATCACAGCAAAACCGAGATCTGGACCTGTGGCCCGAGAGAATCCTGGCGGCAACACACAAAAAACAGCCAAGATGCCAGGAATCTAGTGTCCTCCTTCTTCGCCTCCTGGACCTCCTTCTTCGCCTCCTGGACCTCCTTCTTCGCCCTCTCCACCTTCCTTTCCGCCTTCTCCACCTCCTTCTTCGCCTCCTGGACCTCCTTCTTCGCCCTCTCCACCTTCCTCTCCGCCGCCTGCACCTTTTTCGCATCGCCCGATTCCTCCGCCCGCGCCTGGGCCGTCTTGACCTGCGCCTGGGCCGTCTCTTGCTGCGCCAGAGCAAGTTGCAGCTGCTGCCGCGCCAGGAGCAGGTCCTGCCCAGCAAGACTCACACGCCGAAGCAGCGTGCACAAACAGACGGCCTTCTCCAATGCCCTTTTGGCTGCTTTGGCGGAAAAAGAAAATGCCGCGAAATGTGGATCTCACCTTTAGGCAAAGGAAGCAAACAGCCCTGCCTCTTCCACGAACTCGGCCCGCATTCTCTGGTCCGCCGCCTCCTCGAGATCGCGCCGGTCCTGACAACCAACAAACTGTTGTCCTGGCGGCAACCGGCAAAAGATGCGAACAGGCTTCGGGTCAGAGGAGTCCTCTTGCGCAGCCCCGGCGCGCCGAGCGACTCCGGCATGCAACGGGCGCCGTTTTGCCTGAAAGAGCCAAAGTGCAATCTGCTTGCGCCTGCGGGCAACTCTGAGAACTGGGCCAGTATGCTGTCCTGGCACTCAGCACGAAACAAGAACATCCAAAGGAGGGACTTCATGCTCCTTCAGCCCAGGAACTCCTCGAGCAAAGTCCTGGGCGGCGACAAGGGACTCCGAAACCCGAAAACCTTCTTTTTGTCACCCGCACGCCTTGAGGCAATTGCCATCGGTCGCGAAACCTGCTAAAATACACTAAAAAGGAGAGGTGAAACAGATGGTGAGACGTCACGTGAAAAAGCCGGCGAAATAGGACAGGCCACGGAGGAGCCAAACAAACGAACAGAACCAAACCAAAAACAGCCAAGGACAGCGAACAAACAAACCGAGAGCAGAAAGGGATTTCGCCAGCACACGGAAGTGCAAGTTGAAATTAATTACGGGCGGAAAGGAAGGCACCAAATGCACTGGCTACGCGCGAAAGAGAACCATGAGGCTGAGCGGGGCACAGACCATATGGTTCACTCGCGGAGCGTGCTACACTCTGCCGGGGGCACATTTGCGCATCGTTAACCCCCGTACATGGCCATGCAGAGGAGCATATGCAAAGAGACTACACAGAAGGCCGCACACACTAGCCAAGGAACGTGCATGCATGAATTAGCCGGCTCACAGGCATCACCTGTAGCCGCAGGGACAACTTCGCGGCATTGCGAGCCAGCGAGGCAGCCCAGCAGCGACACAGGAGTGCTCACACATTGGTCAACACCACAAGTGGGCCAACTGCAAGGGCCGCACGTCATGAGGAAGACCACAAGAGCAATGTAGCCGGTCGGTGGGGTGCCTGAGTGCTGGGACGTCCGCCAGGGAGGAGTGGCGCCCCCCCCTGGAGATGTGCCCTACTGCCAAAAAGACGCTCTGTGCGCAGTAGACATACGCCCGGGTCAGGCATGATACGCAAAGGCGAGCAAGCCGGGATGTGGGGCTACATGGCCGGCCTGCCAGGCACATTTTCCAAGTTCCTGAGTAATGCACGGACCAGGCCACAAGATTATGCGCGGGCACTGGCCGTTGGCCTTAGCTAGGGTTGGAGTGCAGGACAGAGGACAACTGTGAGACCAAGCGGGCTCGGTACACACGGTATTCCCCCCCAACAGTCATGTCCTTGACAAAGGGGTCATAAGGGAGATGCAAAGTAGGTCAACCCAACCATGGCGGTGCCTGAAGGGCAGTAAGCAATGTGAACAGCACAAATGTGCTCTGTCAAGACAAACTGAGTAAAGCGCAGAGCAAAGCTGGCACAGCGCTCACCTAATCACATCTTACCTATAAGAAAATTGTGGGTTTGCCTGAGTTGGGGAATGGGATACGGGACAGAGTGGCAGGAAGATAGACAGAGAGACCGAGCGGGGCCCGATCAACACTGTAGTCCTGCCACAGCATGTGACTACCTGGCACGTGTTCCCGTTGCGGAAAGCTGGGTAGGGGGTATCCCGCATCACATCGCACATAACCATATGGCGGAATAGTTTATAAAGAAAGGCTGGGGCTTAAGCAAGCATGGCGATGAGACCAGCACAAGGCGGCTTGCTAACCTGCCATGGTGGCTCGGTGAGGCACAATACCAAGCAAGACACGGGTAGGCCAAGTAAAGGCAAAACCGGGGCCGGACTCAGGCTGAGCGCGTGCACAATGTTCCAAGAGCCCAGACATTGCAAGGGCCTGGCGCGGTACAGGTCCTATGGCAAAGCAATTGGCAAGCGACCTAATGGTTTGGGTTTGGGGTGCAAGGCAATTGGCAGGAGAGAGACCGCGAGACCGAGCGGGGCATTCTGCCAACCCCAAACCCTAACCGCACTGCCCCTTGCCTTAGCGGACGTGTGAACCTAGGTGGCCCATGAAATGGATACCTTACCCCCGAAATTAAATTCCCTGAAGTGCACCCGTGCTGGAAATTTGATGCTGGGGCAGAAGTGCCGTCTAGTACCGTGCCCAGCTCGGTCTCGCGGTCTCTCTCCTGCCAATTGCCTTGCACCCCAAACCCTAACCATTCGGCAGCTTGCCAATGCCTTTGCAATAGGACCTGCACTGCGCCAGGCCCCTGCAAGGTCTGGGCTCTTGGAACCACGTGCTTGGCGACACGACCAGATGGCCAGATAATCTAAAGCTGTAGCAGGACTACAGCCTACTATTACCCCCGAAACAGCAACTCCCCAATAGGCAGAAGGGGCCGCAAGACCGAGCGGGGCACGGTACTACATTCCCCCCAGCCTGAGGAAGGTGGGGGAAAAGTCTTGCTCAAGGGCAAAGTGCAAACAGTGCGTGGTGTTCGTTTCGTGAATGCAGGGGGGTTTAAGTGCTCATACACCCCGCCTTGCTTTTCTGACGTTGAGTCCCACAGGCTCCACCTGCAACAACAACTGCAGAATGGGAGGGGCTTGGACTTTGACGTTCAGAATTATCTTGGTGGGGCAGCTTGATTCCTGCACCATTCGGACCGACCTGTGGCTCCCCCTTCCCGCTGCGGACTTTGCTCGTCGTTTCCCAGCGCTGGATGTCTGCCGTGTTAGCCGCACCCCCTGTCCTTGACAGTACTGCGGCCGAGGTCATTCTGAAATCTGTGGACAGTTTCCATGTGGAGCCATCCGGCCTCACTCTGCAAGCATTCATGAATCAAGGTCCCAAAAATACACAGGCGGCCTCCGCCTTGCTCCGTGAGCCCTCGCTTCTCGGATTGGCGCTGAAAAGACTCAGGCCGTATGGAGCAGCCCATGGTTCGCAGCTCTATTACGGGCATTTCTGCTCAGAGCTCCGTGGAGTATCGGCCCCGCCGGGGCGAGTCATTGACAAGGGCAGCCCCCGCAAGCTTGTCAGCCGTAGCATTCCCAACGATGCGCCACGCATCAACCGGGCATGAGGCTTCACTAATTTCGCGGTGGGCTTTAACCCACGTCCATGTGACCCGGCCAGCCGGCCAGGTCGAAAACAAATGCAAAAGGAGATCGAAATTGTGGGCTCTCTTACCCTGCAGACATTCTGATTGCACCGCATTCCACACCATATCAAGACAGGTACACACATACCGAGAATCGGTGTGAATGCGGATATTGCCTTTGTAATCAAGATCCTCCTCCTTCCGGCCCAAGAGGGTGAGATTTCCCACAAAGCCCATGGCGCGCTCGCTCGTGTACCTCGGGCTCGGGCTGTACCTCGGGCTCGGGCCGGCTCTGTCTTGGGCGCTGCCTGGGCTTGGGCGCTGCCTTGGGCTTGGGAGCCTTGGGGATGGTAGCTGGCTTGCTGCCTTGGGCGCTGCCTTGGGCGCTGCCTTGGGTGC